TCACAGAGCAAGGAAATCAGTAAGACTTCCGGCCCCGTGGGAGGGGTGGCCTTGGGCTTTTGGCTCCACACCCTGGCTCCGCTGCTCAGTTCTGGGCCTCTTGTACAGTGGTGATCTCAGCAGAACTGCAGGGCTGTCTGACTCTCACAGGAGCTCCCTGGGCAGCACCCCACCATACTTGGCTTGAACCAGCCGTGGAGATGTGGTAGCTGTTACCTCCTCTGCCGTCTGGGAGTCACCTCTGTCCCCAGGGTCATTGGTGTGGAACTGAGGCAGGGACTAGAGTCCCAGCCTGCTGGCTTCTGGCCGGGGCCCTGGGTGGGGTCATGTGGAAGTCCTCCAGGTGGTGTCTCGATGCTCTGGGATCTCAGCACAGAGGCTGGGGACCCTGGAGGACACAGACCGAGAGACTGTGCATCGTTGGGACCCTGGGTGGGCTGGGCAGTTCCTCCACAGGAGCTGATTGTCACGTGGAAAGAGGGCCTGGCTGTCCCCGCCCACTGGTAGGAGTGATGGCATCGGCGTCCCTTATCCAGGGCCTGCTGGGGGCCAGGCAGTGTGCTCAGTGTGGACCTGGGTTGTCCCTGATCTCGAGACCCTAGCGAGGAAGCCCAGCATTTCTCCAGAAGAGGAGCGGCCAGTGAGGGCCAGGCCAGGACCCTGAGCTGCCCAGCTGGAGTTCTGGGCAGGAAGTCTTGTGCCCTTCCTGCAGTGACGCGACAGGGGGCTTCCCTAGTGACAGTGCTCACTCACCCACACCTCCAGACCACACTTGTCAGACGTCTGTCACCGTTGCCTGATTTCACCACTGGCTACACTGATTTTAACCAAGTTACCACTGTTGCAGAAAACAATTAGATAAGACTCTTAAGACTTGTTATAGGTCGGGGAAGGAGGCAAGGTGGCTCCTACTTTGAAAGAGCAAGAATTTAGCAGATATGCACCTTCTGCTCCTGATTTGCTTAGGTAACTTCTTGGGTGCTTTCTTGAAAAACCTCGCATCTTTAATACCTTTGACTACCACAGTGATGAGGCACGGTGAGATCAGGAATCAGAATGACTGCTAGGTGTGGTGGTGCATGCCTATAATCCCAGCACTTGGGAGGCTGAGGCAGGAAGATTGCTGCCAATTCAAGGCCACCCTGGGCTCCATCATGAGTTCAAAGCCAGCCTGAACTACATAGTGAGACCCTGTCTTGAAAAAACAAAAACAAAAATAGGGACCAGAATGACCCTACTAAGAGCCTCCTTTCACAGCTAGAGTGTGTCTCAATCCTTCCTGCCACAGGACCTTTGCACAGGCTCATTTGTGCCCGAAACACCCTTCCCTCCTTATCCTTCCTATTTCACTGCGCTAGTTTATTCTTAGGGCCCATATTAAAGACTTAGTTTCTTAGGAGAGCGCTACTGAGCCTTTCCCATGCCAGGCTAGCATTGTGTGCTATTAGAGAAGTAGCCATCTTCTTTAGGCCGCCACTGTTACAGTTATTTCTAATGTGTTAATGTAGGCTTGGCTTCCCCTGCTAGACTGTGAGCTCCCTGAACATGCTGGTCTCCAGTGGGTCATGTATGCCTAGTGCCTTGTGCTTGCTAATGCGTATTAACCCTGCCCGCTGCAGACAGAGGGATAATGGGTGGAGCTCATTTCCTTTCCCTTAACACCAGCCAGTAGTCTCCATTGAGTAGGAAAAGGGAACTACAATTAGGTTTATAAATCTCTCTCGAGCCTCTTTGGCAGAGAACTCACGTTCAGAAATTTAGAATGCACAGTGGGTGTGGCACGTGGCTGTAATCCCAGCACTAGGGAGGCTGAGGCAAGAAGATCACCACAAATTTGAGGCCAAGATGGGTGAGTTCAAGGCCAACCTGGACTACATAGCAAGACCTTGTCTCAAAAAAACGAAAAAGGAAAAATAAAAAACCCTGAAAAAGGCCCTCCCTGTATGGTGCCACACGCCTGTTATCCCAGCACTCAGGAGGCTGAGGCAGGGGATTGCTGCTAGTTGAAGGCCAGCCCAGGCTACATAGCAAGACCCTGCCTCAAAAAAGAGATAGGGAGGGGGAGAAAAGGAGTGGAGTGGAGAGGAGAGGATGGAAGAAACTTGGAGTCCAGCCCCATACCTTACATACAATAGCTACCCACTAAAGGCTGATGGTTACCAGGACCTCGGGTGCTACCAGAAGCCTGAAGACTTCTTTTCACACTTGGGATTAAAGACAGTGAATTATTCTTAGGAACTAAGTGCATTCATTCCCTTTTGTTTGTTTGGTTGGTTGGTTTTTATTTTTGCTGGCCTTGAATTCACTGTGTAGCCCAGGCTGGCCTCAATCTTGTGACGACCCTCCTGCCTCAGCCTCCCAAGTGCTGGACTAAGTGCATTCCCGATTCCCACCCGTGCCATAGCTGGGCTCCCCAGTAAGGTCCGAGGGCTCGGTTGCCAGCTCTCATATTGACTTATTTGTATATAAACAGTTTTCCCTCATCAGAGCCAACCTCCAGAGATAATGATCTACAATCTTTGCAGACATCGCTGCAAAGATGTTCTGTTGCTATAGGAATGTTTGTGATGTGCTTATCGCTAGAATTTCATGAGCAACAAGCTCCAAAATTGCAGATGATTGGGCTTTTGAAGCGGAGAGCGAGAGTGTATGTGTGGATTGCATTAAAGAAAAACAAAATAAGGCTTTGAAAGGGGAAGTTTTCTTGGAAGGAGATATTTTCTTCTAAAATTGAAGATAAGAACTACTTAAAAGCAGGGTGGGGGTGGGGGGGTTTCGAGCGAGGAGTGCTTTCCCCTAGACATTCAGATAGGTGAGGGTGACTCAAACCTTCCCTCAAGCCCGAAGGCTGTGGGTGGGCAAAGACTTCTGGAGCTGGTGGCCACTAATGAAGGATTTCTGAGTCTTGGGAAAAAATCATTTTCATAGCCCTAAATATAAGAATGAATACCAGCAGCCCTCTTGCCATTTTTAAAGTTACTTTTTCTGAAATATTCTAGTTCTTTTGTTTTGTTTTTTTGTTTTTGTCTTTTTCTAGTACTGGGAATTGAACCCAAGGCCTTTATACTGAGCTGCATTCCAGCCCTTTTTCATTTTGGGACAATGTCTCACCGGGTTGCTAAGTTTCTTAGGCTGGGCTTGAACCTGAGACCCTCCTGGCTAGGCTTCCCAGAGTGCAGGGATAATCAGCATGTGCCGTCACATCCAGCTCTCAGTTCATTTTGTTTTGTTTTATTTCTTCCCAGGTCATTTGAATAGAGAGCTCCTTGCTCTCATTTAGGAGGCAGCTTGAGCCTGCTGAGCCGAAGTGAAAGTAGGGAAGTGCGGGGTGGTGCAGATTGGGCTGTGAGCCTCATGCTTTGTCACCTGAATGCAAAAGGTCGGTGCCACCATCAGACAGCCCAGAGCCACACTTTCCCAAAGTCCCTGCCAAGGTTCTCCCTCCCGGAGAGACTCCTGCAGAACTAACTCACTGTAGTGGAGAGAGTGAGTCCAGAATCCTTATCCCGCCATCCCTCTCTGAACTCAGCCTTCCCGCAGTCATCTGGGCAGCTCAGGCTGCGTGTGGAAGTGTTCACAGGCCCTGCGGCATGGCCGTGGCTCTGCCCAATGCCCTGTCCACGGTCCGCAAGAGAGGCACGGAAGTCGAGTGCACAGTCTGTTGGGTCCAGTAACTAAAAAGTGGGCTTGTACTTTGCATGAGTATCTTTTCACTTGGTTTTTCAGCAGTTCCTTTTACTGTCTCTCACAAACAAACTCATATGTGATGGTTTAGAAATTAAAGTAACAGAAGTAAGTGTTCATCACACATAGTTTGAGAAGCACTGTGCCGTAGTACTTCATACAGTATGATCAGAAAATACAGTGCATTTTTCAGTTGTTTAAAATTTAGTACAGTAAAAGACACACTGCCATGAATCCCCCACAAAACACTGTCCCTCGCTTTGAATGCACTCATCCCATCATTCTTGCCACTTTCTGAAGCAGCTCTGGAAGAGCTCTTTCATGAGTGTCTTTAGTTGTGCTGCTACGGCTGCCTCGATGTCCTGAGTCCATTCAAGTCATCACCTCTCATGGTCATCTTGGTGTTCAGGAAGAGCCAGAAGTTGCCTGGTGCCAGATCCAGTGATTACACTGTGAGTGTCATGCTTTTGTGTGCTGCTTTTCCATCTCGTGGCACTGGACGGCAGCAGTGACTGTATTTTTGACCACCTCGTATAAAGACATAAAGGCGGACTTCCAGAGCAGCTTCAGAAAATGGCAAGGACGATGGGATAAGAACAAAGCAAGCAGGACTATTTTAAGGGCAATTCATGACAGTGCCTTTGACTGTAATTTTTTAATTTAAATACACACTGCAGTTTTGGTACATTATTTAGTTTTGCAAGCTGCCATAGCTCCCTTCAAAAAAATAGGATGGTGGATGAATTTTGGGAAATCATAGCACTTAGCAAATTATTTTGTAGTGAAACGTGCAAACCCCCCTCCCTCGGTTTCTGTGAGCAGGAACTGCATTTAATTTACCTCGGTGGCCTCAATTCCTCACCACTGTAGGGCGGTAGGGACAGTTTGCTGAGTGAATGCCTGTCCACCCCTCGGTCGCTGAGAGGGGGTGTGTGGGCAGCCCCAGGAGCTCTAGGCTTTCTGGCAATGTCCAGCATGGAGTGGTGACAGCGAGCTTGGAAGCAAAAGATGAGGAAGTAGTTGGGCCTGATGATGCCATCAGTTAGCTACTCAGGAGGCTGAGGCAGGAGGATCACAAGTTTGAAGCCAGCCTGGACTACATAGTGGGGCCGGGGATTTAGCTCAGTGGTTTCAGCGCTTGCCTTGCAAGCGCAAGGTCCTGAGTTTGATCCCTGGTACCAAAAAAAATAAAATAAAATTTAAGAACAAACAAACAGCTGGGTATTGGATGTGGCCCTGGATTCAATCCCCAGTACCACAAAAATAGAACAAAACAAAGCTGAGGAAGTGACTTGTCCTTCTCCTTTGTCCTGAAGGTCTCCTCTTCCCACCTGACAGCAGCATGACAGCAGCATGACCCGGCGGCCACAGGAGAAGTCCCCAGAAGCAGGCCCCCTGCTCAGCCACCTGCTGCCCCAGTCTGGGTGAGCCTGCTTCCTTCTGCAGGAGGCAACAACATTTCACCCCAACAAACTCCACGTGCTTGTGTAATCCCTCAAGTGTGCTGGAAGGACAGGGTGTCCTGGGACACGGGGACCTTAGAGGTGTGCATCCCCCTTACAGGCAAAGCAGGCTGTTCAGGTTGCCTGTCTGGGGTGAAGCTCTTGTAGCTCCTCCGCCACAACCTGCATCTGGGACCTGGGTCAGGTCCTCAGGAAGTTGGGATGGGAGAATCTTGGGGATGAGGACAGAATTGGAAAAACTGCTGGTCAGTGAGCTGAGCGTCCCAGGACGGGCAGAGACACCCCTGTCCCTCACTGGGGCCTTGGACAGTCGGCCAGGCCCATTGCTAACCAATGCTGGGCAGTTTCCTGTTGGAAGACCCTTCCTAACAGGGGGACAGTGTCTGCTTCCTGTCTGCTGATCCCTGCCTTGCCATCTGTCACTTCCTCATGCCTCTGTCTTTGGATGTTTTTGGAGATGTCTGCTCCTTTTTGTGTGAATTCTCCCTAGAGACTGGTGCCATTCACCTTGTCCTCCTGTCCCCCCATGTCTGCCCTGCCACCTGCTCACACAGCCTGTGACGTCTCAGTAGAGAATCCTTCACTCCCAGCTCTCTCTGCAGAGACTGTTGAGGGTCCCTTTGAGCCAGGCCCTGAGCTAGACCCGGGAGGTACAGCGTAAGCAAGGAGGACCGGCTTGCTGTCTTTTCTTCTTTCAGTGCTGGGGATTGAACCCAGGGTTGCACGAACACTAGCCAGGTCCTCTACCACTGAGCCACACCCCAGCCCATGGGTCTTTTTGTATTTATTTACTTTTTATGGTGCTGAGGATTGAAGCCAGGGCCTTTGCACTGAACTGCCTCCCCAGCCCTATTTTTCATTTTTATTTTGAGATAAGGTCTCACTAAGTTGCTCAGTTCCCCCAGATGAGACTTGAACTTGTGATCCAATTGCCTCAGCCTCCAGAGTGGTGCCATTACAGGCATGTGTCACCGCACCTGGCTCTGCTTTTTAAAAAACACAAAGCTGGGGCTGGGGATTTAGCTCAGTGGTTCTGCTGCCTGCCTCACAAGCGGAAGGACCCGAGTTCGATCCCTGGTACCAAAAAAAAAACAAAACAAAACACAAAGCTGACTGACTTCTTGGAGAGGTTTAGAATGTGCACTGTGCTGCTTTTATATATTCCTTCTTTATATTTTATCTCTTTTCCACTCTTTTGTTTTTTGGTACCAGGATTGAACTCAGGTCCTTGCGCTTACGAGGCAGGCAGTGGAAGCACTGAGCTAAATCCCTGGCCTCCACTTTCTTCTTAAATGTTCCATAAGTGTTGAAAACTGTGTTCTTCATTGCATCTAGTTTTCTGTATACAATCACCGAAGTAAGTTAGCTCCTTGTGCTGCTGCTCAAGTCGTCTATTCCAGGGGTCCCCAGGTCCTGGGCCAGGGACCAGTACTGCACCCTGGCAAGAGGTGCATCCTGTGTTTGTCACTGCCTCCTGCCAGAAGGGTGGGGCATTAGATTCTCATAGGAGCATGGCCCCTACTGGGAACTGTGTTCCTCTGGCTGGGTCCTGAAGCCACCCCCTCCTTACTCTGTTTATGGAAATGTTACCTTTCATGAAGCCTGTCCCTGGTGCCAAAGGCTTGGGGACCACTGATCTATCCTAGTGCTGTGTGTCCTTCTCTGATTGTGTCTGATGAATGTGTTGATTCTTAAGATAAATGTGTTAAAATCTCCCACTGGTTTGCCAGTTGCTTGCTCCTTGCAATCCTCAGATGTCTGCTTTATGTATTTTAAGGCAGTGCTCCTTGGTGTATGGATGTTTAGGGTTCTTGTGTATCTTATGGATGAATTAGGATTAATTCTTCCATTTTTGTATGCTTTGCATTTTGTCTCCTCATTCTTTTAGATTGAGGTGCCCCCTCCCCATTCTGTTTTCCATCCTCTTCTTTGGAATCTACACAGTTTACGTTTATTCAGTCGGTGGTTACCCAGACTATTTTAACAGGCGTTCTTAAAGTCTAAAATTAACCAGTGTCTTTCTCTTCCTGCCAAACATTACAAGAACCACAGCCTGGTTTAATTTTAATCGCTACCTCCTGCCTTACTATTATTACTGCCAGCTTACTATGTTCTCATGTGTTTTCATCCAACCCTATTTTCCCCTACAAATTAGACATCCTGATTTTATACACTGTTAGTATACATTTACCCATTTATCAATATTTTTTCTCACTGTTCTTTCCTGAGCCAAGGGTCATTTCCTTCTGCCTGAAATAAAACCTTTAGCATTATCCTTTAGTGAGGGTCTGTGGATAGCAGACTCGCAGGATCTTTCTGTTTAGCTATTAGTTTTTGGTGGCTTGGAAATAGCTTTATTTCATTCTTGGTGTTGCAAGGTAGCTTTCCTGGATGTCTTGTCCTGGTGGCTTTGTCATTGTCCTCCAGCCTCTGGGACTGAGCTGAGAAGTGGGCTGTCAGTCTGACACCTGCTCCTGTGGTCTGGCGCTTCTCTCTGGCTGTGTTAAAGAGTACTGTTTTCTTTGGTGTTCTGCAGAATTACAGTATGTCTAGGTGTATGTTTCTGTCCTTTTTCTGCTTGGGTTTCGCTGGGTCTCCTGAAACTTAAGATTCCTAGATTGGGGCCGGGGATTTAGCTCAGTGGTTCCGGCACCTGCCTCGAAAGCGCAAGGTCCCAAGTTTGATCCCCAGTGCCAGAAAAAAAAAAAAAGATTCCTAGCTTGCAATTGCTTGGAAGACTTCATTTCTCTCTCTCCTCTCCCAGCTTCTGGAGCCTCAGTACCTCACGAGCAACCTTCTCACTCTTCTCTTTGTTTTGCACCCTCTGCTTTATATTTTTCATCTGTCTCTCTGTGCTGAACTCCAAATAATTTCTTCGTGTCTACTTTCTATTTAGCTCATTCATTCTGTGTCTTCAACGCTGCTTAATCCATCCATTGACTTTTTTCATTTCCTTTATTGGTCATTTCTAGATGTTCTGCTCTGTTATTTTTCGAATCTGCTTGGTGATTTTCCAGGTCCCTCATTTCGTGCTCATGCTTGAGGTCGTTTATTGCTATAAAATACTGAATTCGCTACTTGGAGAATTTCTAAATCTCATATCTGGTGATTGCAGAACCTGGCTTCTTTGCAGGTCTGGTTCTGGTGCTGGTTGCTTTTACTGCCTTACGAGCTGCTTATTCTCTTTGGAGCTGTATTCTTCAGAATCATTTGAGGTGTGTGTTGAAGTTGGTTTTTCCAGAAATGACTTGCATTAAGTTTTGTTTGTTGCTTAAGGGTGGGATATGGGGTGGGGGTGGGGATGCTGCCAACCCCAAGTTGCTTAGAATTCATTCTGTACTTGAGGCTTTCTGGCTACACACAAACTGCACACCTGTGCAGAGTCCCGCTGATGGTTACACAATCTCAAGAGAGACTTTTTCCCAGCCCAAGATGAAGTATCCTTGCGTTCTCCTTTTGTCTGTGTGTTTACTTCTTAGTCCCCAAGAATGGAGCCCATTAGAGCCCTCGCTTTATGGGGGGAGACATCTCCCCAGGCTTTGAAACCTGTGGAGCTGTGCCTGGGAAAATCAGAACTTCCAGGGGTTCAGCTCAAACACTCGGGGCAAAAGCCAGCCTCGCTCCTAGCCCCCGCTCTAGCTCCCTGCTTCCGGTGTGTTTGGAAGGATTTTTCCATTTGTAGCAGCTCAGCAATGTGCACACGGTTTTTACTATTTAAGACTTATCCTGCGCATTGGTAGAATACCACCAGAAAGCACATCTCAGCTTCCTCTCCGAGGAGGCCTTACTGGGCAGAAATTTCTGTCCCTTTATTACAGAGGAGGGAACCAAACCAGGCTCAGAGAGGGTCTGCAGCCAACCTGTGAAGACCTAGGAGGGGAAGGATGGAGAAGGAGCATCTCCCTCTCCTGCCCACTTCCTCGTCTTCCCTCTCCCCAGGACAGTGGATCCCTGGGTCACTAGCTCTATGCTCACAGAGGAGATGAGTTTGTACCAGGATGCTTTAAATAGCTGGACAGCCTTGTGAAATTTGTTTATGAATCTATTGTTTATCTTCCTTGAGAGAGGAAATGGCTTTTGCATATATTTGGCTCATTCCCCGGCGCTCACCAGCGACTTCCCCTCTTCATTCCACTCTGCAAGGGGGTCCTGGACCCCAGGCCAGGTCCCTGTGGCTTCTCACTTCCCCTGCAGGCCATGGCTTCCAGTCCCCTTCTCCCCTGCCCTCAGCCTCTTCTTTCTTCTCTGACTCCGCTCCTTGTGCATCGAGGAAGGGGACTCTTCAAACCACACTGGTTTGGCTTTTGGGCTTTGGGGGCAGGGAGCAAGAGGTAAACTTGACTGCAGAGCCAGCGCTTGTCAGCTTCTCGTCTCTGGGGCCTCAATTTCTCCATCTGTCACCTGCTTGCTTGGAAGTGGCTCTGAGCACTCGATCATGACATTACGACTGATGGCAGATGACTTCCAGGCCAGGGCTCTTGTTCAGTGATGCTTTTAAATGGTTTCTTAAAATGGGGAAGAAGTAGAGGCACAGATTGAGTGTAACTAGGGGTCCATTCCCACCTGCTACAGCCACATACTGGCCTCACTATTACATTCTTTGAACTGGGTATTTTTAAAAATAAGCATGGTGGTGTTCATCTGTAGTCTCAGCTACCCAGAAGGCTAGGGCAGGAGGATCCCTTGAGCCCATGAGCTCAAGACGAGCCTGGACAACATAGCAAGACTCGGCCTCAAAAACAAATAAAATAACCTGTGTGTGACAGAATGCAGGCCTGACCATTGCAGAGGATCTGAAACGGAGTCTGGAGGTGAGGCTGGGCCCCGCATTCCTGAATCTTGGCCTTTGCTCTGAGCTGTGCCCTGGGGTGGGGCCAGGAGAGGCTGGAGCCACACCATGCTACTCACCATGGCACCCCAATTGCTGAGCACAGCCTCAGGGGTGATGGGGCAGGGAGTAG